TATTAAAAAAAACCCCACCATATAAAACATGTCCTAATACTCTTTCTGTTCAAACATTCCTTTATCCATTTTACTTACAAGTGAACGTTAGTCTCTGTAGCTATCTTGAAAGAAATCAAGTAATCAGAAGCAATCATCAACCTAAGCATTTCCTCTGCCTTGAGCAATGACTGTACTGGTTCATTTTAGAACAAACCCACCATTCAACTTGGTCTATAACAATTTATCTTAAATGACTCAAAGTAATCATGACATTCTTTCTATGAGCAGCATAGCTAAACATAATTTAAAGTATAAAGCAAAATAAAAAGTCTAATAGATGTTACACGTTTTAATATTCTATCTGCATGTAAAAAGCTGACATCCGCATAATCAACATAATTTAAAATATCAAAGGCTTCATTTAATCTTAGATAACTTCAGTTTACATTTCGTGTTTCAGGAGTGGCACCGCTAGGTTCATTTTGGTTTGGTCAGCTGTAAAATGCAATCTGAGAAACAAGAAGGGTATTTCTAGAGCTTGTAAAAGAAAACCTCCAATTTTTAATTCTAAGCGTAAGAGGTTAAAAAAATCAAACTATATGTAAGGTATTAAAAGTAGTTCAGTTCCTTCTGCTCTTAATTTTGATGTTCTCACAGAACGTATCAGTAAGAGAAACGACTACAACTAATTTATTCAAAAAAGACTTTAAAAGATGTATAGATTTCTAACACAGCATATAGTTCTTTTAATACTTTCAAGAAGTCATTTCAAAATGAATACAAGTTTTGTTAGAGAGACAATTAAACGTTCTCATGCTGCTCTGAGAACCAAAACTTTATGGCAGTTGGCACATCAGAGGGGAAAAAAAACCTTAATAATATAATTCATTGTGCAAAGCAATCCCAAAGAAAAAGGGAACAAGGGTTATGTCTTCAACAATCTAAAATGCCATTAGAAAGACACAGGAAGAGATTTCTTAAGATAGGCTTTTTATTGTTTTGGTGCAATCATAAAACCCTCACAAAAGTAAGAGCTAATTGACAAGGCGGGGAGGGGGGGGTCATTATTATCAAAAATCACCTTATTACGATCCCAAGTAGATGCATTACAGATGATGACTTCTTTAAATAAATCAAGACAAAAGAAACTAACACAGGAGGAAAATAACCCTCAAGGTTTTTTGCACCATTACACATAGTATCTGTTCAATTTTAGAAAACTAGACCAACTACTAGAATAGTTTACAAGTTACAGAGCATTTTGTTAACGGAAAGGAAAACAAAATTAAAGATAACCCACCCAAGTCTGGTGTTTTCAATTAAGCAAAATTCCCTATTACACACCCACTAAATTTAATGGGAATTTTACTTAAGAATTTCAGGATTACACACAAAGGGTAAAATCTCAACCCCACTGAAACAGAGACAAAACTCCCATTTGACTTCAATAGAACTAAGATCCACCATAAAAAGTCACATCATTATTGGGCGTAATCTGTCATAAATATACTGGAATAAATAATTTACACTATATGAGAAAAATGACTGTAAATGTCTCCATAAATAATGAAAACCATACACAGTTCATACGTTTTTAAGCAAAAAAGCAGTCATAATTTAAGAACAAAGGCTAATTATCAGCAAGTAACAAGTCTGAACCAACCAGTAACAGTATTATTTTATTTACACATCAAATGAAGGCAAGTGTTTCTCCAATTCTTAAATATTTGCACACTTTCAAAACACAGTAAAACTAAAAGAACCGATAATTTCAAGCAACCTTTTAATTTTTCTGTTTTGACAGCAGTTGTGGAAGCACTCGCTTGCTCTTGCCACGACAGGATATGATGGACAGAGATTTCCAAAAGCACAGCACTCCCTACAGCAGAGGCAAGTCACTGATAGCAGAGAGACAAGCTACACATGAAAACCAGCCACTTTTAAATGATACAAATAATTTCCCTTAAAACACTTATCCACACGAAAACACATCTACTGCTACAGTCCTTCAGGAAGAATTCAAACTGGTTTTTTACATGTATTTTGCACAAATCAAAATATTAGTTTACTGAGAAGGTAATCACAAGGAGCTTGTTTGTATACCCTGTATCTCTGAGACTCTCCTGTTCTAAATATTAAATACATGTGGATTCTCCATGGTTTTAAAATTGCTAGAAACCTCTTTTGGTTTTTGAAGAAGTTCTGAAGAAGTAAAGCTTCTCACTTTGCTAACACAGTTAAAAACAAAATTTGAAAAAAGTGCAAACAACTAAGTAAACAATGCTGATTATATATAAGCTCTCTCTTGTGCAAACCATTGATTTTTACAAAATTAGACTCTCTCAAATCTACCTGAATTACTACTGTGTTAAAACAATCTTGCTTATGTTTTCTTTAAATTGCATACGTGTTTCTCTGTAAAACACGAAATTCTTAGTAGCCTCCCAGATCACAATGTCTGAAATTCAAATACACTGGCACAATACTTGGTGATCTTTTTTGAACAGTGGCAGAAGTCCTTCCGTGAACAAACTTCAGTGTGAAATCCCAGTGAAAACCAAAAGAGAAACTAGGAAATCTGCAAAAGTTAACGACTTGATTTGACTTACACCGATCAAGTCCTTTGCGATATATTTCTCCTTCCCCACGCTACGACTTTTCCAGTTTGCCTGCCACAAGCGCAACTAACCCGAAACCCTGGTTTTGGTACCTAACCCTGCACGCTGCTGACTGATGATGCTCGTGTGCGTTTTTTCCCCACCGCCTTGGCCCGATGTTGGCCACGGCCATCCCCCGAGCCCCCTAACCCCGAGTGCGCGCAGCAGCAGCAGCAGCAGCAGCAGCAGCAGCAGGCGTGCAACACTTCTCAGGGAAGCGGGGCGGTGGAGAAGTCAGCCTCGCCTCCTCCAGGGAGATTAAATCTCAGCGAGCTTCCCCAGAACGCACTTCTCCGTGTGGTCTGTGTTTAAAAGCTTACAGGAAAGAGGGAAAAATAACACACGCATGCGGATTAAATATTAAAATTAGGCAAGCCTACAACCACCCTTAGAGAAATATGTAACAGAGCTGAACCCGCTCCTCTGTACGCCGTGTACCAAATTAACACGGCTATGTTTACTGCGTTCTCCTTCTGTTTACTGGATGGGAAGGACGGCCGTCGGTCCCCCTGCCTATCGCTCCTGCCGGCTCCCTCACTCCGGCTCTTCCCGGGGATGGTGGTGCCCCTGCTCCCATCCACTCCAGGTTTTCTCACCCGCCTTAGGGTCAGCAGTTTGGGGAATGTTGTGGAAATAGCTCTTTCCCAACGTGGGGCTTGGTTTGCAGTTGGGGCAGTAGGTAGCTCAAGAAAAAAAAAAAACAAAACAACTCATATTTTTTGTGAGAAATCAGTTCTTGGAAAGCGAGGGGCGCGGTAGTTTGTTGGTGCCCGGGAGGGCGATCCCAGGGCTGGAGCAGGAGAGGGGTAACCGCAGCATCCCCGCCGGCCCAGGTCCTGAAAGCGAGCCCAGCAAAACTAAAAGCAGAAGACAAATAAGGCTCTGCCCTCAACCCTTCCAGTCATTCAGAATGAGCGCTCATCCTTTCAAACTCTGACATTTCATTCAGCAATCCTCTCGTCTTAATTAGGTGCAAAGCTTGCTCTGCACACGGTGGGGCTCTCACCTTTTCCATCTTCCTGCACTTCCTATCAAAAGACAAAATATTTCCTTCTTCAAAACCAAGTAGCTACTAAGAAAACAGAAGAAAAAACCTGCGAGTGGCTCCTACAAACTGTCGCTGTTTGCTTATTATTGATGCCCTCTGTCAGCACCGTGAATACAGGAGCAATACCTGTTCGCCTCCAAGCAACCCCTTTTACGTGCTATGTCATTTCACCCAGCTAGACCCGTAAACATCTATTACAGCTGTATCTCCGTACCGGCTTAAAGCGCCGCCTCTTGCATAAATTCAAGAGCAAAGAGAATCCCCACGGTGTCTCACCATATTCACTTTTAATCCTTGGCAGGCCGGCTGTCCTGTGCCCTCCCCAGGCAGCCCCCGCTTGTGGGCAAATTCTCACTCCCTAAGAGGAGGAGGGTTGCTATTTGGGGATTTCTTCCCTTCTTTTTTTTAAACAGCATAACTAGCACTTCAACAAAGGAACAGCTACATAATTAAAACCTGAGTTCTCTCTCACCCCAAGTTTCAGGTTTCTTCGGTTTGCTTTTGTCTTTGAACACCCAGCGTGTGCAATCCGCAGAAGAGCAAGGCAACCAACTGGTCACTGGCGCTGGGAGCGAGCCGCCAGCTGGAACGCAGTCACACACCACCATAGGGTGGGCCTTGAAGCGAAATGTGCGACACAACATGCAACAGCTCGTGCATATAGTGACTCCTGGAAAGAATTTTTTTTTTTTTTTTTTTTTAAATCCACTTTCCTTTTTTTTTTAAATCCACATTCCATGCTCACCACGATTTACTGTTAAACTTTTGCAAGAGATGATAAGATATTTCAAAACCAAGATATTAAATGTATCCTTCTCATTTTGGTATGATTGACCTTCCCAGCCAGAGAGCCAAGGATTTTTTTGTAATCTGATATCCTCAGTCCAACAATCCTGTTTTTTAACTCAATCATTTTACATTTTTAAATAGTATTTAGAAGCTGCATTAACATAAACTATTTTGGTCACATTTTCCAAACACTTTCCAAAATCTTACATAAGAAAACTCTGAAGTACAGCCCAAACATCGTAACTGTGTAAACATTAGCTTCTATTGGGGTACCCAGAAGTATACACTCATTATAATAGCGCAGTAGAATTCAAACGTGAAGAAATATCCCAAAATTAAACTTTTTCTCATACAAAGAGCCAGCGAGTTCCTCCAAGACTCTTTATTACAGGACGTGTTGGGGGAAAAAAAAAGAGATTTTTAAGAAAGCGAGGAGGGATAGTGCTCTACCTGACAAAACACAACCCGGCGGTGGGAAACGAACACCAAGCACAAACACGCGTGGCAGGCACTGTCAGGCGTAGCTACTCACCTTTCACAGCACTCGCTTCTTTCAGGTTGTGAGATAGAAAGTCTATGCTGGCGTAGGCGCTCATCTCCACTCCGTTGATGCCCCCGTTCAGGACATGCCTGGCTTTCGACCTGGCTTTGTCACAGTTTGCCAGGGTCCCGTCCACCACGTCGATGGCGATGTAGTTGAGGCCGTTCTGGAAGCCAGCCGAGGTCTCCCGGCACATGGGGCTGCTCCCCTGCTCCTCCTCCAGGCCTTCGCTTTTCCTGAGGGACACATTCTCCACCGAGGCCGAGTTGTGCCGTTTGGGGTTGTGTGCGAAGGAGGGGGACACGGGGGTCACAGTGGTGGTGGAGGAGAAAGTTTCCGAGCTGTGCCTCCTGCGCCCCTGGGGATCCGCCCGGATGACCTTGGCCCCCCGGTTCGGGTCTGGGGGAGGGCTGGAGAGAATGAACGCCTCCACCCCAGAGAGGGTGAGCCTCTTCACCCCAGCCGTGGGGCTGGTGACCCGGGCACTTTCTGGCTTCTGCACGATGGGTTGGGGTGGGGTGGTGGCCATGCCGAAGGTCATCTCGGTGTAATCCCCACCGTCGGACGGGCTGGACGAACAAGCCACCCCCACAGCCGCCTTCAGGTAGCGCCCGTCGGGCTGGCTGGTGCTGGAGGAAGAGCCTGGCGAGAGCGCTTCCAGGGAGCCCACCGAGACCGTGCCCGACTGGGAGGGCGACTGTGACCCGAAGTCAATGTTCATGTAGTCAGAGAGAGGGGAGCGCCTCTGCCCCGTGCCCGAGCCCAGGGAGGAGGCCGGGCTATCGGCAGGCAGCGAGGGGGGAGAATAGATGGCAGCATCCCCGAAGTCGATGTTGATGTATTCGCCGGGGCTCTTGGGCTCGGGCGGCAGAGGGTGCTCGTTCATGCTGGGCAGCATCGTCCGCAAGGTCTCCAAAGAGAGGCGACTGGGCCGGGCCACCCGCTGGCAGCGCTGGCTGAGGAAGCTCTCGGTCCGGCTGTGCCGCAGGGGCGAAGGCACCGTGTGGCTGGAAGGGGCGAAGGTGCCGGCGGGGGACTGCCCCGCTCCGCACACCGCCTCCTCCGGGATCATCCTCCCCGGGGAGTTCATGAAGACGTACTGGTCGCTGTCCTTCGCCAGGCCCTGGCTCTTGTAGGAGCGGGGTAAGGAGCTGTACGAATAGCAGCCGGGCTTGGGGGGCTCGCTGGACCCGTGCCCCGAAGGGGCGAAGAAGAAGTCAGGGGGGGTGAGGGAGGGAGCCTGGGGCCCGTGCTGGGGGTCCCGAGGGGACATATTGATATAGTCGCCGTTACTCAGCCTCCCGTCCGAGCTCTCCACGGACAGCTTGGAGCCGCACCACATCCGCATGTACCCGCTCTCGTCAGGGGAGCTCTCCCCGGGCGAGCTGGTCTTGTAGCTGCTCCCGTTCCCGGGGGACCCGCCGCCCACCCCCGCCCGGGGCTGCAGGATCTGCTTGGGGGCCGACACGCTGGTGGGGCTCATGGGCCTGTAGTCATCGCCGCCCCCGCCCCCCCGCC